CATTTTTGTTTCTTCTTGAACTCTTTTATATCAGCTCCCCTTTATCCCCTCCCTCCACCACCCTACCCCCCAGGAACTCTTGTTATTATATATTATTGTTATTTTGTTTTTGCCATGTCTTATACCATCCAATGTATCCATTCACCAATCTGTTATTCGTTCCCTTAGAGTGGAGTTGTATAGTCATCATTGCTATTAGCCAAATTCCCACTCCCTTCCATATCCTTAGGGAATCATTACTTCTGTTACTATTTCTGCAGGGTGCATCTATCTTGGATTTCATGCATCAAATGATCTTAATTATACAAATGAACATACACAGGTCTCAGAAGATTAATGAGGTAAAACTAAATCATAATGTAAGGGGAGGAAAGATATGTGTTTTATCAGTGCTCTACTGCACCCTAGATATATCACCCCTTCCGCATAGCCCTTCTGTAAGGGACTCTACAATTATCTTCCAGGTGGGTTTTGGGTCTTGTGATAGTTAAGGTTTATTGTGCCAACCTGGCCGATAAGCACATGTGGGTTTAATTGAAGGACAGGGAGATAAATGGCTCAGTGAGCCTTGCCTTTCTGGTTCTCGGGTCTCTTGCTTTCTGATGGTCGGACCAGGGTGCAGCTGCCTTAGTCAGTTCCCTGCTTTAGCTGGCAAGGCTCACTTCCTGCGAGACATCCCTGAGGAGAACCCACATGGACCTATCCTGATGCAGCCCTGGGTGCTGGAGCAGCCACGTGGAGACCCCTGCTAGTGCTGAGATGCTTACATGCTCACAGATTCAGCTTTCCACCTGCAGTTGTTATCATTGCATGTGTTTTGTGAGATGGAGGAGGACTTTGTAAATTGGTGTCGGACACATGGGCTAATGTTGGACTTATGGGCTTGGATAGCACTGGATTGGGATGCTTTCTTAATGTACCCTTACCCTTTATATAAAACTCACATGTGAATTTATGTGGATTTTGTTTCTCTAGTTATACCCAGACTAACACAGGTCTCCACTTGCCTATTCACGCCTTGCTCTTTCGCACCAATTTGATTGCTTGTTCTTGAACGTCTATTCCCGTCGACACCTCATGATCACATAGGCTGATGTTATACACATATGATTGTCTATGAATTTGTTTCTGTAGTCTACCCAGACTAACACAGTCCCCAAGGCTAGTCACTTCTTTTTCTCATCCAGTGGTTAAGCTAATACTGTCTTTAAAAGTGTTTGTTCTTTAAGTAAGGCTCATTTGGTAAAACCTAATTTTGTTATTTAATTGTTCTAAGGTTATTACTTATATAAGAATCTGTCAAAATGAGCCACATTTGTTAATTCTTTATAATATTAAAACAATTTAACTCAGCACATATTGTGAAATCAAAAGTGAGTTCTTTGGAAAAAGAGAAAAGATACCTTCTATTTATCATACTATTGAGATGTAAAAATAAGTGAATTAATTTTTTGCTTTAAAACTTCACTCTAGAGGGACAGTTTACTTGAAACCAGAGAAAGCACTTTGTTAAAGGAGGAAAAAGGACATGGCACAAATGCTCCGGAGGTTAGAACAAAAGGAAAAACAAAATCCACTGCTATTGAGTTAATCCCCTCATAGCAACCCTATAGGACACGGCAGAGCTGTGGTTTCCGACACTGTGTACGGGAGTAGAAAGTCCCAGTTTTCTCTCTCTCAGCATCGGGTGGTTTTGAACTGCTGACCCTGCTTTTAACAACCCAATTCATAACCACAACGCCAGAGACCCTCAAAATGGCTGCTCATCTACCTCCATTGCTGACTTACATGCACCTTTCATCTAAATAGGCGCCATTTGGGTGAAGGTCTAATGTTGAGTTTCACAAACTAGCTAAGTAGACCATGCTACTCACTGCCTGCTTCCCTATGACATCCAACCGGGGCCTTCCAGATGGCGTTTCTTGGTACCGCACAAGAAACCCCACCAAAAGGAGAGAGCGAAGGAAAGTGAGGAATTCCAATTTGTTTCCTGTGTATTATTATTTTTATTTTTTTGTACATGCTTTTGGTGTTGTAGCTAAGACTTTATTCTGAAATATATCTTGGAGACACAACCCTTGTTTTCTTCTAAGTTTTGTGGTTGCAGCCTTTACATTTAGATTACTGATCAATTTTGAGTTAATTTGTGTGGGGCATAAGTCCAACTTTATTCTTTTACATGTGGAGATCCAGTTTCCCTAGCACCATCTGGTTTTTTTTCCCACCTCCCCTTAGAAGATGACTTGCTGAAGTTAATTGGCCATAGATCTATGGTTTGTGTTGGACTCTCAGTTCTGTCCCATTGGCTTAAGTGTCTATCCTTACACCAGTATGAGACTTTTGATTACTGTCATCTTGTGGTATGGTCTCTAGGTGGCACAATGGTTTATGTTGGACTACTAATTGGAGGGTTGGCAGTTGGACCCAATTAGTGGTAGCCCAGGAAAAAAGGCCCGAGAAAGCACTGCTGTTGAGATTTCAGCCAGAAAACCCCATGGAGCCCTTTTTCTAGCACGTGGAGTCTCCAAGAGTTGGAATCAGCTCCGTGACAACCCTCAAAACAGCTTTGGGATAGTAAGTTTTGAAACTGGTGAACGTAAGTCTCCCTATTTTGTTCTTATTTTTCAATGTTGCGTTGCCTCTCTGAGGTCCCTTGCAGTGCCCTCTAAGTTGAAGGGTTTCAAAGTACTGAACGCCCTGCCATCCAGTTCGCTGACGCACAGCAGCCTTAAAGGTAGAGCTGCCCTTGGGTGCTTCTGAGATTGTAGACCTTTATGGAGGAGAACGCTTCCTCTATTTCTCATGGAGCAGGTGGTGGTTTTGAACTGCCGAGTTTGCAGATTAGCAGCCCAATGTGTAACCCAATTTTACTCAGAATGCTGTTGGGGTGTGGATCAGTATGTGTTGAATCTGTACATTGCTTTGGGTGGAAGTGACATTTTAACAATATTGAGTATAATTTGTGAACACAACTGTCCTTCAATTTATTTAGTACCCTATGTTTTTTGATCAGCTTTTAAGGCCTTTTACAAGTTCTGTCTGCATCGCAGTTATTTGATGAGTCCCTCTCTGACCTGTTTCTTCTCACCGTTTGCTGCTGATTTTAGCTGTGTGAGCCTTGAAGGTGGGAGAAGGCAAAAACCCTAGAGCCTCTTATTTCCTTTCCAAACTGTGCCCGTGCAAAAGCCATGCCACTTGACACTTGACAACATCTTAGCAAAGCCGTTTCTTCTTGAAAGCTGCTATTTTAATAAAAGGCGTTTGAGCCATATTGCAAGTTGGGTTTTTTTGGTTTGTTTTTCCTTTTTCTTTGAAGCTTGTTGTTGCCATTGAGTCGGTTCTGATTCATGTGCGTCAGAGTTGAGCCATGCTCCATGGGATTTTCAAACTGTGGCCTTTGGGAATCAGCTCCAGGCCTGGCTTCCAATGCACCTCAGAGTGGTTCAGACTGCCAGCCTTTGAGTAGAGTTGCATGCTTAAGGGTTTGTGCAACTAGGGGCTATTTTCTCTAAGCTGGGCCCTTTTAGTAGTTAGGGAGGTTACCTTCAAAGTCATTGGAGATACTTCTAGATTTCAGAAGGGCCATATTTATTGATTTTAGCATTTTTAATATTCTTTTTAGTTTTATATGTATTCCTTTATATTCCTCTACTTTATTGCTTATCTGAAATGAGTACTGGCCCAGCATAATGAGAAGTTTTATTTTCATCCTTTGGAAGCTGGTAGCTGGTGCCCATTTTCTAAGTCACAAGGACCTTGTTGAACTTGCAGAACCTTGGTGAGCCTGTGAGAATGGAGCTGTGTCTAGTAAAGGCTGCTCTCGTCCCAGTTAGACACACAGAGGGTGGCAGGCCTTTCTGTGTCTTTCACTGGTAGCTGCTCTGTGGGGAGGAGGCTCAAGGTGCCTGCTCTGGGTTTAAAGTTCGCTTATTATGGCTTGTTTGCTTTCCTCCTGGCTGCCCCGTGGCCTCTAGTGAGCGTTGGGTTTCCTACTCGAACTTCGTATTTTGAGTTTGTCCTGGAGCTTCATGAATGGCACACATTTTTTCTCTGAAGAGTATTCCTACTTTAGTGACTACAGGGGTAAAACCCCCCTGTTCCTTGGCACTGTGCCATCTGAAATGCGTTATTTTACCCTGAAGTGGTGCAGCCAATTACACACTCTGAAAGGAAGAAAGATAGTTTTATTTAAAAGGTCTATCAGCAAGGAGACCACAGCAGAGCAGTGCAAAACAGAGTGTGGTGTCCTGTTTGAAATCAGAATACATAGAAAATATATACCTTTGGCTTTGGAAGAGCCATGCTTTACATTAACTGGGGTTTTAGGGTAACCACAAGAAACAATTGTTGACCTCGATCAAGCAAATAGAACACTACTCACAAACCAAACTTGCTGCCATCCGGTCAATGCCAACTCGTAGCAACCCCGCAGGACAGGGTAGAACTGCCCCTGAGTTCCCGAGACTGTTACTCTTGACGGGAGTAGAAAGCTCCGTCTTTCTCCCACAGAATGGTTGGTGGTTTCGAACTGTTGACCTTAGGGCGAGCGACACAGTGTGTAACCACCGCACCACTAGGCCTTTACCAACAGACAGCAAGGTTCATGTAAGTCTTAGGTCAGAGTCGGGATGTCTTTGTAGACTAACTAGATTGCAGGGCCTGTCTTTTCATTACTAACAGATAAATAGGAGAAGACTCGCGGCATTATCTGGCCCTGGTAGGTGACTTCCACATCCAACCTGTCTGCTTTTAAGCCATGTAGCAAGTTATAAGAATTCCAGAGAGACTGCATTATGTACAATACTTTAATGACATTTTGTAAGGAGGGTTTTCTAGTTACGTTAGGTAAAACTTGAGTTACAACTGTGCAAGTCTTCTTTTTCTTGGGGAATGCTCTCTGATCTTTCAGAACCTGTCCCTGCCTCCTCTGGGAGCAAGCCAGCAGCAGACACTTGGGGTCTTCCTTGAGGGAGGAGTAACAAGTTCTCTGTTTTTTTTAGGACTCCATCCCTGTGTCCACCTCCCTCCTTGGAGACACTTCTGACACCACATCCACTGGCTTAGCTCAGCGTTTGGGTACGTACTGGCAGGCCTGGTGCTGCCAAGCAACGTGCCCATTTCCTGTGAGAGCAGAACCACTTTCATGAAATCGGAAGCAAATTACAGAGCAGTCAAGGAGCTGCATTCCGAGAGAAATCCGTGCCTCCTCTAGGTTAGCACAGGCATGTTAGCTGGGCACTTGAAGCTCACTGCTGCCAAGCAGCTGATGAGGGACATCGCTGTTTTGTCCCGCCCATGAGTGCATTCACCTCACCCCCAGGACTATTCCAGAGCTGGCAGGAGGCGGTGCCACGGTCTTAGGCTTTAGGGCACCTCCTATGCCTTTTCAGTAAGGGCCTGAGGAGGTGTCCTAACCAGACAGGAAAGATAACTCTGCGTCTTGGTGTGCTGCTCTCTGGGGCTAGAGAGGCGCAAGGGACCTGGCTGATGGGTGAGGAGGGAGTGGGGAGGAGCAAACAGCATGAGTGCAAGGACGGCCACCTGTACACATCAGAGCCGGGTGCAGACACAAGTGCCCTGCTGAGTGTGACTGGTCACTAAGCAGTCACAATTCTCGACATCTGCCAACAGGGAGGCACCTCTACTTTCTCTTGGACCCTTCCTGCGTCCTCAGCTCCACTTTCAGCTAGTGCCCTAACCCTCACCTAGTTCTGGTGTGGGAGTACCTAGGGAATTGAGCCTAGACTCTGATTGGGAGTAGCTCCTACTACAGGGCCATGAGGAAATGTCCTGTCAGGATGACACAGGACCGGCAGTGTTTTGTACAAGGTCACTACGAGCTAAACACGCTTTGGGCATATTATCAGGAGAGACCAGTCCCTGGAGAAGGACATCATGATTGGTAAAGTGGAGGGGCAGTGAAAAGGAGGAAGGCCCTCCAGGAGATGGACGGACGCAGTGGCTGCATCAGTGGGCTCAGGCATGGGAAGAACTGTGAGTGAGGATGGAGCAGGACAGGAGTGTTTTCTTCCACTGTGCAGAGTCGCTATGGGTCCGGGCCGACTTGACGGCAACTCAGTGGCACTTAGTAAGTTCCACGATGACGCTGGTGCTGCTGTCTGGGGACCACACTTTGAGAACCTCTAGAGCAGTGGTTCTCCACCTTCCTCATGCCGCAACCCTGTCATACAGTTCCTCATGTGGTGGTGACCCCCAACCATCACATTGTTTTCATTGCTACTTCATCACTGTCATTTTGCTACTGTTAGGAATCCTAATGTAAATATCTGATATGCAGGATGTATTTTCATCGTTACAAATTGAACATAATTAAAGCATAGTGATCAATCACAAAAAACAATATGTAATTATATGTGGTGAAATATTTATTTCTAATTACAAATAAATGAAATTTTGTCTTGAAGCATGGTGTAGCATGGGTAACAGTCTTCATGCCTGGTTCTCATATGTAGGCGGATCTGCATGTGGGCGGACTCGTTCGGAGTGGTGTCTTGGTTCTTAAGGCCATGGGAAATGTGTTTTCCGATGGTCTTAGGTGACCCGGGTAAAAGAGTCGTTCAACCCCCAATGGGGCCGGGAAACCACAGGTTGAGAATCACTGCTCTAGAGACAAGGGGTGGGTGTCATTGGCATTCGGCTGTTTGTGAAGGGTCATAAAATGAAAAGTTCCCTGTTTACCTTGACCAGTGTTCTCTCCCTGGCGTTCTTAGTTTGAAGGTAGTTGTGCCCTATATCACCCTATATAGAACTAAGACCTGCAGAAACGGTTCACTGACGTGTCAATTGTCGTCTTTTTTGTAGCCAGGAAGACCAACAAGCAGGTGTTTGTCAGCTATAATCTTCAGAACACAGACAGCAGCTTCACGTTACTTGTAGAAAACAGGATCAAGGAAGAAATGGCTGCTTTTCCTGAAAAGTTTTAGCTGGGTAGCAGAAGTGAGGTTTTGTAACTTATGTACGATATAATCTTAAATAAATCTTTAGTTCAGTCTGATGTGCATTGGTATATGTCTGCATTTTGACCTGAGTTTTTATTTTAAACTTTTGATTGTGATTTGGGTGAAAGTTTACAGAAGAGATTGGTTTTCCATTCAATAATTTGATTCATTGAACACACTTTTCTTCAGGACATTGTAATCCCACAATGTAACAGCACTCTTCTAACTCTCTCCCTGGTTCCCGTTGTCCTGTCCTATCCCTTCCGGCCTTCTCAGCTTTATTCCTGGGCAAATGCTGCCCTTTGGTCTTGCATGGTTAGTTGGTCAGGGAGACTACTTCCCTAGTGACCCTACAGGCCTGTTGTTTGGCTGGAAATCGAGCCTGAGGTGTCGTAAAGGGCTATAGGGTGATATAGGGCCATAGTCTTGGAAGTTCCACCAGCTTCAGACCAGTAAGGATTTATTTATTTAGTTTGCGTTTGTTCCACATTTTCTCCAGCTTTACCCAGGACCTCATTGTGACCCCTTTCTAAGCTGGCAGCACGTGTAGCAGGGCACCATGCAGCTCTGATCTCAGGGTCATAGAGTCTGTGGTGTGCATGGCCCATTGGATTAATGGTTTCCATGTGCCTGATTTTATTTACTCTTCTTTGCTCTGGATGGGGCGAGACCAGACCCTTAGAGGACTTCTCATGGACTTTTAAGCCCCTAGTCACTAAATGGGCATCTTGTGCATTTGCAGCTTCCCCCCACCATGTTTAGACCAGAGGCTCATATGAAGTCATCCAGGGAGGGAGGAAAGCAAAACCAGTAGTGTGCAGTTTTCCTCACTGTTCAGTGATAGAAGGGGTTACAGTGAAGCTTTGTTGGGATCGAATGCCTACATTAACTAGGGCTGTGAAATTGTGCACACTACTAATTAGAATTAAAGCAGTACTGCATTCTAATGTATTCTAGGGTGGGGGCGAGGTGTTCTTTTTTCTTTTTAAAATCATTTTATTGGGAGCTCGTACAACTCATCACAATCCATCCACCAAACACATTTGTACATTTGTTGCCATCATTCTCAAAACATTTTTGTGAGCCTGTGGTATCAGCTCCTCATTTTCCCCTCCCTCCCCGCCGCCCTTCCCTCACGAACCCTTGATAATTTATAAATTATTATTTTGTCAAAGGGGGTGTTTTTTCATGTCCTTTGTCTTCCTGTAAGTGGAGTCTGTACAAGGCCCCCAAAATTCTAGTGCTTGGCATGAGAGACTCTTCCGCTTAGGGTATAGGCCATACTCACATTTGTTTATAAAAACACTAGCCCGTTTTCGGTTTATCATCAACTTTGAGAGAAGCAGCTTATAGCTATTTTCCAGACATGTTTATAGAGAGGCTTGGGAAATGGTAGAGTTTAAACTAGATAAAAAGAAGGAATTGTTTTCTTGGCAGGCTAAGCAAAGGTTGTAATAGTAATTTTTTTAAAGGAATTCTTTAGAAAAAGTTTTAAAATGTTTGCAAATATTTGAGACCATATTAGAATGTAGATTTTAAGTTCTTTACTCCAGCTCAGTTAGTTCTAGCCAGCTATGTGAGGGCATTCTAAAACAGATACCATTACTTAAAAAATGAATGCTAAATAAAAACTCTACTGTTGAATTAAACTTGCCCCAAATCCTCCTTTTTGCCTTCCTCAGCATACAACCTATCATTTTAAAGCAGTAATTTCCTGTGAAATGTAACTACTAGTAGCAAATAGAAGTGGCAGGCCTATGGCATGTTAAGCAATGTTTGCCAGTAGCTATTCCGAGGATAGCCTCAGAAGAATGCACAGCTTACTGTTAGCTCTAAGAAATCTGTTAGAAGATAGATGATTTAGCTTTGTAAAATCCAAACTTGCTATTGTCTTGTCACTTCAGATTGATCTGTTTTCAATTTTGGTTTTAATTTTAATAGAAACTCTAGTTTGCTATTTGACAAGGCTAACCCACTCTCAGGGCTTCTCTCTGGCCCTGGTTTTTGCCCAGCTCCACTGCGTATTCCCATCTGTGAACTTTTCCTAACCTGTGAAATGGGAATATAGTACCTACTTTGCTGGGTTGTTGTTAGGATAAAATGTATGGAAATGCCCATTTTAGTTTTATCATCTCATTTTTATGGAGCCAGACGTTTTTCTGTGATCTTCCTGATACTTTTCCATTACCATTCTGGCTTGCTTATCTCAAGTCCTGGGCCATTGCTTTGGCTACTTAGAAATGGACCCCAGTTTTACTAGAATCATGTTGTGCATTCTCGTTATGACCCTTCCCCAAAGCAGTATTTTGGGGAGCAGTGCCTCTTGACCTTGACTCATGGTGGAGTATCCAGACTGCAGTTGTGGACCTTCCTTGTGTTTATAGCTTCCATTTGCCCTTGGGTCCGGACTAGGCTTTGGGAGTTTTGAAAAGCCCCCCTGGTGCTTCTAAGTGCATGCAAGCTGAGAATTGCTTGTGGCACGGTACTGTCTCATCTTTGGGCTATATCTGGGCCCCTCCTATGATTTGATGTAACACACCTCATGTCACAGCAGAAAGCATACATTTGAAGCTCCCAGTTGGTGACAGGAGTCATGCTGGAGAGGTACTTCTGAGGAGCAAGTCTGGGGTTTGAGAATGCATACCTCTTGCAGGCTTAACTGTGATTGTGGAGCGGCTTGGCCAGCGGAACCCTAACTTGGAGAGCCTGGGGTACCTCTAGGAGTTATAACAAATCAGGGCTATTGAGCGAAGAGTTTTTGGTATAAATACTTTATTAAAGAAATATTGTTTTCTTGTTTAAAAATACTACATTAGAGAATTTTGTGTTAGCCATCTTTCCTGGGAGAATCACAGTGTAAGATGCTGCCCTGACCTTGCTAGGGCCCCTCAGGCTGTGAATCAGCCGAACATGAATATTAAGAGGAAAAGCCTCCTCCAGTTACTGATGGCCTAACTTGCATTTAACCCAGTCTCTGCCCCCCTTTTTTTTTTTTTTAACCCTGTCTTTTAAGATGACTTTCCAAGCAATGCAAGAGGCACCAGCTGCCCCTCTCAGGGTTGGAGGAAGGGCTGTTGACAGCAGGGTTAAAACAGTGACACCATGTGCGAACAGAATCAACATAAGGATTTTTATTACTCAGAGCCATGGTCAATGTTCTTCACTGGAGGCCACCGGATGAGGTAGGGAAGACATTCCAGAGGAAATTGGTTAATGGGGCAACATTTTTATTTCTGTACACTTACATACAAAGTTTTCCCAAGGTACAACTGATGTGACATCATGCAGACATGGAGCTTTGTGGACAGTCCCGAGCTCGACTTAGGCTGTGCTGAGTGAGCCCCAGCAGACTCATTGCGACCACACGCGCCGCGACAACACAGCTCTTGGGGAAACCTCAGCAGGAGCGGAACACAGGATGGGGAGGGGACTGAACATACCACTGCCTTCCCCAAACGTTACACACACTACAGCAACATGAGGTTTTGTTCCTTGACAAAGGTAAGGGGGTGGGAAGTTCACAAGCTTCATGAATGGCATTTCCAGCTGAACGACTGCTTGGCTCTAGGAAGTGGTCATGTCTGAGTGCAGTACTTCCTCTGCTAGTCTAGTCTTGCTTTCTGTTCTGGGGCCAAGCCCCACTCATCAGCCTGTATCCTCTAAGTACAGGTGATAATGCAGTTTTAGAAAACAACATTGGAAACTTTCCTTATCTCTAGTGTGGATATTTATGTTCGCTGATAAAGGATTCATGTTTAGAAAAGAAAAAATGAAGATTGAGCCCTGTCCGTTGTTCACATTTGTGCATACCTTTTATGGAAAGGGGATCGAAGCTCCCTGATGGTTTCGGAGGTAGGGTGCGCAGAAAAGGGGTGGGGCAGCCAGAAGTATCTCTCTTGGGGTGTTATCTCTGGGGGTGGAGGACTGACTAGAAGTGGCAGGTGCCTGAGAAGGAACCAGCATTGCTGCTTCAAGCACAACTCACGTGAGGGCGAGCTCCAGGGCCAGATGTGGATTGACCTTAGCCCCTGCTGCCTCACCTGGTACCCAATCGCATGGGGGCATTCCCTGCAGAGGAGCTGTTCTGCTTTGGCTGCAGTAGTAAAAATGCTCCTCACAAGCTTCAGCTGTCCTCAGTTGGGACCAGTTGGGAGAGCAGCGCAGTCCCTCCCTTGAGGCTACCTGGGCTGAAGACACATGGGCTGCCTTGCTGAGATATCATCTACTGGATAGTCGGGTCAATAAAGTCTATAAACTCAGGTTCAAAGAATAACACTTCCTCTGTCCCAAGAGCTAGACTTAATTGTAATTTCACTCCTAGTCTTTGATGCCTGGGTCCTGATGGCTAAAGTGTTTACTTAGTATGGTCTTCATTGGGCAACTTCTGTTGTCACTATTTGCCATGAAGAGGCACTGGGGACAGAAGTTGTTACGTATTTAGCCTCACCACCACCTTTCTAGAGGACACCGGCAACTTGTTCTAGCTCCAATAGGTTTCTTAAAAACTACATCACAAGTTTGCAAATCTTCACAACTTAGGTTTATAAACCTTTCTACAGTACCACAAGTGGATCTCAAGGTATCTTGTGCTGAGGGTCTTGGGTGGGGCTCTGTCTTACTTGCCCTGGTCACTGCCTGACCTGGCTGCATATATGTCATGTGCTGCATGTCAGAGTTTGCTGCCAGGTGGTTTTGTAGCAAGGACTCTAAAAAAGGCAAAAGGTATTTTATAGGTTTGGCACATCAAGCTGCCCAATCTAAAGAAAGGCCTTTTTAAAGGTGAATGCAGAGCAACATGGAAACATGGAACAGAAGTGACTCACAAAGGAGCCTGGGATCTGAGCAGGGGCAGTGGGCACAATGACCATCCCTCACGGAGTAGGCAGCTCTGGAGCAGGCTCTTGGATTCTAGGCATCGGCTGTGAGGTGACACGTTCCAGTGCCTTGGGAAGTAGTCTCTCTCCAACCGGGCTCCCACTGATGTATATGCTGTCTTTGCAGAAGGACTAGCATGCAACTGAGCAGGTGAAATCAGCAAAGGGAGGAAGGGACGCGTGCCAACCTCCTTTCTGCCCCTTTGAATCATAGCTGTGGTCAGCTGAAATCACTGGATTGCCCACCACTGACCCGGAGCCCAGCTTCCTTGGGAGAGCAGCAATGATGCATATCACTAGCGAGCAGGTGGGCAGAGGAGGCAGGCACCAGGACCCTCTGCATTCTGGAAGACCTGTAGCTGAAAAAGACCGTTGGCTGTTGGTACAAAGTGGTGTCTACCTGAGCCAGGAGGACTGTACCTTAGAGGATTCAACTGTGAGTGCCAATGGCGCCCAGGCATCCTGGAGCATGCTTTCCACTGAGCTGCCCCTAGAGACAGTTGGGTAAAGCTTGACCTGGAAAGACAGGAGGAAATCCTGTCTTTGATAAAATAAGGAGCAAACTGAAAACCCTCGGCTGACAGGGCAGGAGGAAGGAGCGAAGCTTTGGTTGATTATTGCTTTCCTCGGTTTGTCTTGATGCTCTCAAGAGGCTGTCCATCCAGTGGCCTTGCCCTGTGTCCACCTCTGCACTGACAGAGGGAGGACGAGTCGGAAGTGGATCACAGGAAGACATTGGGAATGACATCGACTGTCCAAAGAGCCCCACCTCTGGGCACAACGTCAGCAAGTCAACAGGTGTCCCAGCTGGTGATTTTTTTCATGGCCTGTGCTGTAGGTTTGGGCGGCAGGTGGCCCTCCTGTGGATGCGTGGTAGGAGTCTATTTCAGTTATTGTCTGATTAGTTTTAGCTCAGGAAGTAGCCATGGTTTCAAGTAGTGCCAGCAAACAAAAAGCTGTCCATGAAAGGGAAATTCATTTTCTGCTGGAGCTAACTCTGGACAATCCCATTACTCAAAACATGAAAATGCTTCAGACACATTGGTTCTGCACAGAAGTAGGCAAACCTGGTGTCAGCCAGACGTGGCCCTCTTACACTCGTCGCTTCAGGTTTGTGATGAATGTTTACACATGTCCCCAAAGCAAAACCAGCATTAAGTACAAAAGATTGACCCTGAAGGAAAGACTAAGCTGGCTTTAATGATAGTTGTGAATTGCTTTCCCTCAAACGCATGGAATACAAGTTTTTAACCTTAGAAAGGGGGGTGAGAGGTGGGGTGCTTTTAAAAAAACCATACACAGGCTCTCTAGCAAAAACCTACATGTTGTACTGTACACGTCACTTGTCTAAGATGCAGTCCTAGAGGTGGGTTAGGTCTCGGCGGCCCAGGGCCACGGAGCAGGGAGAACAGTTGGCTCTCCTGAGTGGTGGTGCTGGGTGAGGAAGAGGCCGCTACGTTTGGTTATTGAAGGCTCATCCTTAGCCTGGCTGTAGCTCGTCCCACAGAGGGGGTCTTGTGTGTGATCAGCAAGAGGAAAAGGATTAAAGTGCTTCTTGTAAAAATGACCAAAATAAATACAACCATTTAATGGCAGAAAAGGAAGTCTTTAAAGGGTTCTTTCCACCGAGCTTGCCTCCTCACACACATGCTGCTAGACTGCGTGGCAGCACACCATCCCTGTGCCAGTTGTCTGTCTGCCCACCATCCTCAGCCCGGGCCTGGGACTCTGTGCGGCCCCCCACATTCCAAGTGAGCGCGCCCACCCTGCCTGCAGGCCTACATGGTCTTCCTGCCATTCGCCGTGGTGCTCTCGGGCTGCAGGGCCTCCCCCGCAGCCAGGGCCGCGTCGTGCAGCCCGGAGTAGTCCTTCAGCTCGGCGTTGGTGAGGAGCAGGGGCTGCTCACCTTTCTTGTGCGGCAGCAGTGGCTGCCGGGTATAGTGCTCGCCGTTGGAGATGTTCTCAGGCAGATTCTGGTGCCTGCTCTCGGGGAGCAGGAGGATGCAGATAATACAGATGAGTGTGCAGCAGGCAAAGATGATGTGGTGCAGGAAATAGCCTTTCTGGTTGTGCAGCTCGATGATGGGTGCCGTCAGCATGCCGAAACCTGCACTGGCCAGCACCAGCCCCAGCCCGCCGCATCTGCAGGACAGAACAGTTAGTGGCCCTTCCCTGGCCAGCCCACAGCCCGGCTGCTTCTCAAAATGCTGGGAGCACCCACCATAGAAAAGGAGCCGGGGCAGAGCCCCCAAGCAAATGCAACTGAGACCGTCTACACACCTGACATCCCCAACTACCTCTGCTAGCCATCGCTGTATCACTTCCCATTTGGCTCAGACTTTCCTCAGCATTTCACGAGTTGTTTGCTTAAGTTTTTTTAAAAATCATTTTACTAGGGGCTCATACAACTTATCACAATCCATACATACATCAATTGTGTAAAGCACATTTGTACATTCATTGTCCTCATCATTCTCAAAACATTTGCTCTCCACTTAAGCCCCTGGCATTAGGTCCTCATTTTTCCCCTTCTTCCCCCCTCCCCCCTCCCTTATGAACCCTTGATAATTTATGAATTATTATTTTGTCATATCTTGCCCTGTCCGATGTCTCCCTTCACTTAAGTTTGTTTTTAAAGGAAGCTTTTTTAGATAACTGTAAAAAGAAAATGAGCAACACTGGTCATCAATGACTATGCAAAACAAAATGTTACAGAGTAATGCAAGTTCCCTGAGGCTTCCTATTCTATGATAAAATAAAGGTTGGGGGTTACTATGATATCAAGCTCTTATTAAACACCAGCAGCAGAGGAGACTTCTTCCTGCTGTAATGTAAGGTCTTGACAGGTAATTTATAAGAAGACAACATCCCTGCCCCACCTGCGTCTACCATGCCTGGTGTTTGTTGACCGCTTTGCTGCAATGTGAACCCGTCAGTCAGAAACCTAGGGAGCACTTCTTCCAACCCTGTCGCATAGAACTGATGCAACGGCAGTGGTTTGTTCTTGCTTGTTTGTTCTACCATCTGTTTTCTAAAATCTGTCTGTGCATCTCCAGATCTCTGGGAAATGCTGTGCAGAAGGCTCACAGAACCAGACCAGACCCAGACTGTGGTGCTCCTGAAGCCTGAGCTGGTGACCTCTGCCCCATTTACTGTGAGAGGCCTTCCAAGATTGCCACGTTAATGGAATGCCTTATAGCTCCAACAGCTGTTCTTTGGCATGAAGGTACATTCGGGGCATGTGATGTTTGCTGCCCCTGAAGGGGCAGGGCATTGCTGGGCTGCAGCAGAGAGTAGTGTTCCCATGGCACGTGATCTGTACCTCACAGTCTCCAGCTGTAGGGCTACCCTGGAAAGACGGGGTGAGAGCTTGTGCTAGGGAGCAGAATTACCCAGCTCCCGGGAGGAGAACCAGGCCCAGCAGTCAGGAGCTCCAGGGACACCTATTCTAGCTGGCCTGAGGAGGAGCTTTCTAGTGGAAATGCACAAGAAGAATTCACCTCTTAACAACATGGCTTTCTTCCTTAGATGCACTTAGCAGTAGGAGCTAAACGAGAGCTCCCTGAAGTAGAAGGTAGGAGATAGGATTCTTTTGGTCCTACATAAGAAGAGACTATTTCACAAGGTCACAAACTTTTGGAGCTTCCAAAAGTTTGTGGCAAAATGGAGTTTCAAAGATAATGAACATTTCCACAAAGGAGAAGATCTGCCCCTCCCCCCTGCCATACAAGATTCATACATATAAATCCATTATATGTCTCTAAACAAGGAAGAAAGAATAGAAAAATGAAAGTTCAGAACATTCCACTCTCATGTCCACTAAGCCCCCCTGGAAGAAGCACTCCAACACTCAAGATTTAATGATTCTAAATTATATAATCCAAATCCAAAGGAGGGAATAGTGTCAGAGCTTAAACTGAAATTCTGGTGTGCAGAAGGCTGTGGATGACAGTGGAAGCCCAAAATACATTTGCAGGGTCTCCACAGGGAACACGCCTCGGTGATTTCCCTCTAACCATAATTGGGGGATGGTTATCACACAGAGTATTGGAGATATATCCCTTCTGGTATACTTTGTGTTTGATCTGGTTTTTAATATCTATATTTCATATTGGGATATGTCTGTGTTATAGTTTGCCATTGTTGGTAGCCTTCTTGACTCTCTGTTATGTGCGTTTCTATGTTTTGTGGTATATGAAGCCCAGGATAGGTGGGAACCATCGAGACAACAACTGGAATAAGGATACCTGTGAGGTATGGTGGGAGACTGTCAGGGGAGCTGATGTCAAGGATTTAAAGAAGGAGGAAAATGTTTTGGAACTGATTGGAGTAGTAATTGTACAACACTGCTTAATATAATTGAACTATGAGGGGTATGATGTCTGGATTAGCTCCTAATAAAATGGTTTTTTGGGAAAGAAAAAAAAGAAGATTGCAGTCACAATGGCATTTAAAACAATCAAATTCTTAGAAATAAGTTTAACAAAAGAAACACAAACTTGTATCCTGACATCTACAAAACAATGTTGATCTTTCCCTACCAAAAGCCAAGTAGATATTGTTTGCTAAAACATGATAAGCTAATTCTAAAATCTATATAGAAATTCAAAGAATCCATATTAGTAAATAATTTTGGAAAATGGCCAAGTTGGAGAAATTAACTTCCAAATTTCAAACTTACTGTACAACTACAGTCATCCAGGCAGTATGGTATTGATAAACATGCATCATTTGGGGAAAAAAAGGAAAGTTAACAAATAAACCTTTACATTATAGTCAACTTACTTTTTATGAGGGCAAATCCAATCATGTATAGTATGGTGCAATGAGTCCCATTATGTGGCGCTTTGCCCATTGTTTGGAAAAACACATTGGCAGATGTTTCCTGTAAGACCTGAGGAGTTACGGTGGCCTTCCTTTTCCTCCCCAGAGAGTTTGTTACTTTTGCTTAGGTTGATTAAATATCTCTTGGGTAACTGTAAACAATTTGGTTTGATACATTTTGTCTGGGCCGGAACTGCAGCCTGCCCTGTGATTGCTAGGTACCTTGCGGTGATTGGCAATATGCAAATGAGGCATCTGTAGCTTCCTAATAAGGTGTTTGTTCCCATCCCACCAGCTGTTCCCCCCTCCCTCCCGTGGGAGGGCGCATGCCTTCACATTGACCAGAAGTTGTGACTATAAGCAGCCAACCACAAGGAGACTTTCAAGACAGAAAAAAGGAGGAAGATGGACAGCAGGAAGAAGCAGAAGGAAGGAAGGAAGAGCAGAGAAGAGGTAGACAACCTTCGAAAAGAGCTGGCCAGGGGTCAAGGGCTGTGGCACTGAGGATTCCTGTGAGGAGGCTGGAAGGAGGCAAAGCAACAGGCCCAGAACGGCCCCGCAGCCGAGCTGGTGGTAAACGATGTCAGAGCTGAGAGGAGCACGTCCTGAGGGAAACGTGAGGAGGCCTGTCCTTGGAGAGCAGAGAGCAAGCCTGTCACGTCAAAACGAGCTTTGAACGCTGCCCTGAAGCAAAAAAGAAAGGTGCCCGGCACTGAAGGCAGACTTTCCTTCCATGCTTCCTGATGTAGAGCTCGAGTTGTAGCCTGGTGTCCCTGCTCCTGTGTCGTGCCATTGCTTTCTTCGTGAACTGCTTCACTGTCAGTACGTGCTCGGAAGTTCTCGGTGCTTAATGGATGGTCACACCTAGCCCACAAGTAGTGCCTTGGGGAGGATGGCCTGTGTCAGACCTGGTGAAAAACGTGGGGAGCAGACGCATGTTTGACCTTTCCACCAATCCGCGTCATTCTCTTCCCTGACGTTAGGCGGGTTCTGATGCTACTCCTCCTGTTCCCACCACTTTGCAGACACTCTTCTCCATAAGTGGTGCGGAGACACGAGAGAGCCACTTGCAAACATGACGTTACACTCTTACTTCACACCATCTACAAAAGTCAGTTCAAAGTAGCACACAGGTAAATGTAAGAGCTAAAGCCATCACTATTCTAGAGGAAAATGTGGGAGAAAATCTTTGTGATCTTCAGTGAGCAATGACTGTACAGATGACACCAAAAGCAGAATCCATAAAAGAAAACAAGAAGACAATCCATTTTTTAAAAATGGGCAAAAGATCCAAACATTTGAATTGACACTTCTCCCAAAGAAGTGACACCAATGGCCAATTAGCACATGAGAAGATGCTCAACATCGAAATGCACAGCTGCTCTTGGTTGTTCTGCTCTGGAGTGGTTGGTGGGCTTAAACTGCCGACATTCTGGTTAGCAGCTCAAAGCAAAACCTACCACGCCACCGCGGCTCTTTTACATGTCCATGATGCCTTAATTTACAAGTTGAAGAACATCAGGGGGCAAGTCTTGCCTCCATGTAGTGCTTTGGGAGTGCAGACATTTTATTATTTCCTGATTACAAGTCGTAACATGAAACTAAGTTTTAAGGGTAGAAAAATGTATGTGTGTTGTTACTGTTGTGTGCCATTGAGTTGATCCCAATTCATAGTGATCACGTATCTAATAGGGTTTCCTAGGCTGCACCCCTTCTGGTTGCATACTGCCAAGCTGTTTCTCCTGTGGATCTGTTAGTCGGTTCAAACGGCTGATCTTTTACAGAACTTCTGAGGCAGTAAATCTTTACAGGAGCAGTTAGTCTCCCAGGGAGCAGCTGCTGCGTCTGACTAGCTGATAAACAGTCTGACGCGCACCCAACAGTGCCATTGGGGCCCCTGTGCTGTTAGGTGCTATGAAGTTGGTTCCGATTCATAGTGCCCTCATGTACAACGGTATGAACCAGTGCCTCTTCCTGCACCATCCTCACATTGGTTCTCTGACGTTTGAGCCCACTGTTACAACCACTCTGTCAATTCATCTTGTCCGGGGCTTTCCTCGTTTTCACTGCTCCTCAACTTTATCAAGCACAATGTCTTTTTCAGGACTGGCCTCTCCTGACAATATGTCCAAAGTATTACGATGAAGTCTTCCTATCCTTGCTTCCAAGGGGCATGCTGCCTCATCCGAGGCAGATTTGTGTGCTCTTTTGGCAGTTCGTGGTACTTTCAATATTCTCCACCAGCACTATAATTCAAATGCCTTGAGTTTTCTTTGGCCTTCCTTATAAAATGTGCTCCTTTCACATGCGTACGAGGC